AGCCTGAGGGCAGGGAACCAGTCTAATTAACCATTTGTAAGCTGCTCTGAGAACCTTTGTGGCTGAAGAGCAGGGTATAAATACTCCAAATAAATAAATAAGCGCTTAGAAACTGTCTGTTTCATGATCTGCTTTAGAATCTTTTCTGGCATTGATGTCAGGCTGACTGGGCGATAAAGGTTGAGATCCTCTTTTTCCCCTTTTTGAAGATGTGGACAGCGTTTGCCCTCCTCCAGTCTGCTGGAACTTCTCCTGTTCTTCATGAATTCTCAAAGATTATTGCCAATGGTTCTGAGATTACTTCTACCAGTACTTTAAATACTCTTGGATAATATTCATCTGGCCTTGAAGACTTGGAATTCATTTAGAGTAGCCAGAGGTAGTCTGTACTAACTCTTTACCTATTTTGTGCTGCATTTCCCCAACTGCATTATATGTTTCTTTCCGCTCAGGTTGAACAATGTCCTCCTTATGGGAGAAGACTGAGGTAAAAGTGTTTCGTTCTGCCTTTCCTCTGTCTCGTTAGCATTTTGCCATCTTCTCCATGCAGCAGCACTACTATTTCCTTGCTTTTTCCTTTTGCTGCTGACATAACCAAAAAAATGAAGCTCTTTTTATTGTTTTTAACCTCTTTAGCAAGCCTGAGCTCATTGTGTTTCAGCTTTTCTGACTTTTTCCTTACTGTGCTGTATATTTGTTTTGCTGATCTCAGTTGAAGATCTTTCAGTATCTCATAGTATCTGGATCTTTTGATTTTAAAATGAGTGCATTTAATTTTGGGGTGAATTTTGTTTTGTTGTATTTTATAATCTTGATTTTTTGAAAAATTATATGCCACCCAAAACTTCATTTTATAAAGTTGTATTATACAATATAAATAAATAAGTTAGTTTGGGTCGAGCAGGTGACACTGGTATTTTTTTTCCAAAAATAAATTTCATTCTTGGGATAATTTAGATTTCATCATCAAGGTGTAATAAATAGTCCCAATATTTTTTCACAAAATATAGTGATCCTTATCACTGTCCAGGAGGATATTTGATTTATTATATCATTTATTTATTTATATTGTATAATACAATAGTCTCCAGGCAGAACTTTATCACTGTCAATTTCTGAATAGCTAAGTATGCAAAACCTGTATATCACTTTTATTAGGTATTCAAAGAATTGAGTCCAGGAATGTCAAGGGCCATGTTGTCCTGTATGAGCCTGCCTATGCCTTGAGATCCTTGGAGGAAGTCTTCTTTTGGTCCTGCCATCTTCTGAGGTACATCTAATACAAATACAAGAAAATGTTTTCTCAGCAGCTGCTCCCCACCTCTGGAACTCCCAAGACATTAGACTACTTCCCTCTTTTGTCTTTCTTTTGGAAGGCTGTAACTTTTCTTAAATTCAGGCAAGGCTTTGGCAACTGACCTTACTTGCTGTGCAAAGTTTTTTTAAAAAAAAATACTAAGAGGGGTGCTCTCTTTTTGTTTTGTTTCCTGCTGCACTATTTTACTACAAACTGTTTTAAGGAAGAAAGCCAGAATATAAACTCAATAATGAAATAATAAGTAAGAGTTTCACACAATTTAGATCAACAGTTGTTCTAACAGTACTGTCAGTAGGCTAATATTATTACTGAGTGGGTGTTCAGACTAAGAACACCAGAACAAGGGTCCATCTATGCTCATGCATTTGGTTGCCTACAGTTTCCCACAATGGACAACCAGATGTTCCTGAGAAGCTAAAAACAAGGAAAGTTTTATTCCACAGTTTTCTACAGCATCACCAGTCATTAAGAGGCACCCTGCCTGAGCATAGAAGCTGCACTTGTATCTAACTGCCATTGATGGAGCCATTCTCTGTGAATCTGTCTAATCTATTTAGCCAGTGATCCTCATCACATCTTGGGGCAACAGAGTTCATCAGTTATTTGTTCAGTGTTCCCATGAATCTGCCCACAATTTTTTATGAGGATAAGGAGAGGGGCTCCTATCCACTTTCTCTATGCTATTTGGACTTTCATTATCCTTTATCATATCCAGTGGGGTAAGGTGGCTTCCAAGCTAGTGAGAAAGTGAATCCATTATTGGTTTTACCCTGAAATTTAAAGGTGATATCCAGGGTGCTGAACCTATTTGGGAATTGGTTTTCAGCATCCTGGAAAGCTCATTTAAAATTCTAGCTCAAACCCCAAAGAGATTCATCACTACACTAGCATGCAGCCAACCAATCCACACTGATCATATTCAAAAACGTTGAAGATACAAACACTAGTAGTTAATGGGCAGAACAGACATCCATGCAGTTACCGTTATAACTTTCATAATTTTAAGCTGAGCACATTGCATTGCTCAAGTAGTTGGAGGGCATAATATTAGAGATTGTCCATATGTATTCATCAAAAGATTCTGGATAAAGAATTCCAGTTATGTTATTCCTACACCTTTATAGACTAGTTTTAATTTAACCAGACAGCATTAGCAGTAACCTAAATGAAAAGTGTCCATAACCTTCTATACAGCTACCCTTATCTATTTGAATTATTCTGTTTTACTTTAACATATCCAGGCAAAAAAGTATTGTAAATTGGAATATGTTCATCCAGGTTACTGCCATTACACTCTTTCACTACCACTTTTAAGCCCATATTCCCCCCCAAGAGATTTCATTAAATCTATGAGTCTTTTAGGATACAATATTTCAAAAACATTGTTTAACTAAACAGAACATTAGAGCACCATGTCCTTCCAGGAACTTGTCTATGAACAGAGGGTACATGCACATGGGAGCACAGAGCCAGGACCATGAAACCTGTCACAGGAAAAGGCAGGCCTCCTTTGGTACAGTGAGAGGACTGCCTCTAAGTGAAAATAAACTTATTTGCTTAACCAGATTATTAAATCTGTGTAAATTTCATAATGAACAAAACAATATTCCAAAGAAAAACAGCTTGTTCTTTAGTGATGTACCCACACACTAAAGTAAATATGATCTTCAAAGAGGATTCCTTACTGTGTAACAAACAAAGAGAATGCCTCTTCTAAGATAACACTTGCCAGTTTTAATTATCATTAAAATGCTTCCGTTATTTAATCAATGGATGGTACCTTAATCAACCACCAAGTTTTTAACTGATGTAACATTTAGTTGATGAAATAAGCAGTATAGGACTCCCCTATGCCTATCATTTGCCTAACTCCACAGGAAACAGGGTAATAGGATCATATGTGCCCTTTCCCCAAGAACATTAAAATAAAATCGGGAAGACATATGTGAATAGGCAAGTCCCTTACAACAGTGGTCCCCAACCCCCGGTTCGCGGCCCGGTACCGGTCCGCTGAACAAATGGTACCGGGCCGCGCACCGGGGGTTGGGGACCACTGATCTGTTTTGATTTAATAATCAACGCG